TATATATACGGGTTTAGCCCTCCTCACCGACGACTGTCCATGGCTTCAGTCCGTGCTCTTTTGTCAGAGAGCCTCAATACTTGTGGTTAGGGGCTGAAGCTGCCTCGGAGGGGCAGTGGAGTAAGGGGAAGCCGCCAGCCAGGTTGAGGGGAACCGCATCTCCCCCCTCTGGGCTTGGCATTTTTTTCCCCTGAAGACAACTGAGCAATGGTCCAAAATGGCCACCCTGAAGAGGACGACTCAGCTGGACTAAGATTTGTGCAGGAGTGGAGAAGGAGGTAGACAACATAAGAACCGGGACAATTTGGCGCAACAACTAAATAAAAGGTACCCCAGGATTGATGCTTTAAGAATTTTTAAGAAAGAAAAGAAAGCGGCGGAATTAAAACGGGAAGGAAAAAAAAGAGAAAAATTAACTTTGACAGCTGAACGGGGCTTCGAACCGGGAGAGGAAGAAGCCGGAACAAGAAACTTAAACAAACTGAATACATTGGCAATAAACAGGCATAAACTAAAGCAGGATTTAGGAGTATTAAAAAGAAGGGGGAAATATCAAATTGGAGACCTGATTGTTTTGGAATATTGAGGCTCAGAAAGCCCCTAACAACAAAACAGGGAGGGAAAAAAGGGTGAGGACTTTGTATAACGGAGAGTGCCATCTTGTGGACAAAAATTTAAACTGGAAAATATAAAGAAAAAACTTCTGTTTCTCTATGAACTTGATTTGATACAATGAAAAGGAAATATTGAAACAATAATATAAGTACCCCAGAAAGTGAAAGCTGAAGAAAAAATGAACTGTTGGACTAATTTGGTGACTTTAGTATAAATTTAGTGTTGGAATAGTTGTGAATTCAGAAAGCCTGAAGAAGAAAAAAAGAAAAAGAGAAGTTGCTTTGTGGATTTTAAAATTATAAGATACAAGAGTGTGCAATGATGATATCTCTGTGGGAATTAAAAATGATGCTTAAAATATGAAAGAACTACTAGATGCAAGAGGTGAATCATTTTGCTCGGTGTTAAAAGCCATGGAAATGGCAATTGAAGAACATGAAGAAGAAACTTCAGAGGAGGAGGAGTCAGATCAAGAAGAAGCCATTTTAAATAGATAATTAATGCAAAGAATACAAGAAAGAGGAGGGAAAAGAAGGGGGTGGTTTAAAAATAGGAGATTCCAAAAAGTAACTAAAAAGGGGAATACCTGTAAAAGTAGCAAAGACAGGAAGAAACAGCAGAAAAATAAATGGAAGGAAGATATAAAGAGGGAGAGGGATATAAATCAGAGGGACAAAAGGATTGGGAAAATACAAGGGAAGAGAGGTAACAAGGAACAGGAACTTTCAGAAAGAAATATGGGGATTGTAAAATAATGGAAAAATTGTTTATTTAGAATACATAGGGATAATGGTTAATGAATTAAGGAAGGGGATTCCGCATTGATATGAGGGGTAAAAAGAATGTATTTGCAATTATAAGTTATTTAGACAATAGGGGTATATAGACCATTGAGAGGGGGAAGGGCACTGATATTTCCTTTTTTTAATAGATGAATGTATGTTCTTTTTAAAAAAAATGTTACAAGAAAGGTTAATGTTTATTATATATGTATATATTGAAATAATTGAAATGAACTGCAAGGATGTTTTATAATGAAATTAATATCAGTGACCAGGACTAGCCAAATGGATTAATAGCTTTTCTTTTTGCTATTTTTCTTTTGGTATTACAAATAAAACCCCGTGGAAGTAAAAAGGGAAAATATATTGCGGAATCTGACTGAAAAATACAATGTTATGTAGTTCTTTTTTAAGGAATTATTATTATAAATAATTAAAATAAATGTATATTGGGAATTAAAATGAGGGAAATAAGGTATAGTCAAACCACTGAAATGACACTCCCAAATTAGTAAAAGGGGAGGGGAAATCCATGTTTTATTTTGTGTGTAAAAGCTTGTATAAATCTAGAATTTATGGAAAGATGGAAGATGTGATGGAATTGCAAACCTGACAGGTAAAAGAATTAAAAGTTAACAAGTATAAAGATATGGGAATTATTAGTGACTTAAATGAGAAAAGAGTATTATGGAAAAGGTCATGTTTAAAATAAACAATGTATAAGAAATATTTGAAATAAATTGAAATAAATTGAGAAGATATTTAGAATGAAAGAATATTAGTGAATAGGATTAATTTGTTCCTTTTCTTACAAAAAAGTTGGAGAATTAAGTTAAAATGGATAAGATAGGAAGATGAATGTAGAAAATGAATAGATAATTATTGTCATATCTGCATGTAAAAGTGGTGATCCGGAATTATGTTGTACACCCAAAAAAAGCTTTTTTATTTCTATTTGTTTTGGAAAAATTGAATAAAACTTGTTTTTTCTAAAAAAAGAGAATCCATATTGACAATGAAAAACGTGCTTAAAATTACAAGAATTGTAATGTGGATTCTGTTGTAGCTAAATGGGAAGAGTTTAAGAAAACAGTGACTGGCTTGTGGATATTGAAAAAATTTGGTCTTTAACTACCATTGTATGAATATACTACAACTCTTGTGTCTGTTTGTAACTTTCAGTTGGATAAAATTGGAAGGTATAGGGCAACAATAATTGAACCAAAGTAACATAAACTAATTATAAATTACCAAATGCCGGGACCCATGACTCTTTTGGAAATTACATTTGTAAAGTTTATGCCATTTCAGCACCACTACATCTTCTGGCTATGCTTCCCAGAAACATGTAGATTGCATGGCACCGGGGGTGTGTGTGTGTAAATGGAAAGGCTATATCCCCAGCCTCTTTCCGGCCTGCCCATGAACCCTGCATCTAATTGGTTGATGACAAGGCACAATTGGCAAGTGGTGATTGGTCGTTTTGGACCAGAGACTGAAACTTGAACTCTCTTAATGGCAATGGCTGGGGAGGGAAGGGTGAAGGAGCAATTCAGCTATGGCTGGCTGAGGGGACCCGGCAATCAATGAAAGTGCTTCTTCCTCCCTGAAGGGAGGGTCCCCTTGATGTGCTGGGTTAAGGAACAGGGGTGCAATTTTCCTTGTGGTCCATGCCTTTTTTTTTTTTCGCCCTTCCCTTAGCAAAATGTCAGACAGTTCTGTGAGTCAGCTTCAAGTCCCTGCCAGCTTACCACGAAGCAACTCAGTGGGGAAGCCAGCAAAAAGTTGGAAATTGCTCCTACTCCCTCTGCCTTTTTTGCTGTCTGTGGTTATGCGTGTGTGTGTGTGTGTTTTCGCAGGTATTTATATGTATGGTATTTAGGTTTCTTCGGGTATTTTCCCACGTCTTCGTCTTGCAGGAACTGCTAACACACTCCAGCCACATGAGGTCTAGCATTGTCTTGCATTATGAGGAACCCAGGGCCAACCGCACCAGCATATTGTCTCACAAGGGGTTTGAGGGTCTCATCTTGGTACCTAATGGCAGTCAGGCTACCTCTGGTGAGCACATGGAGGGCTGTGCGGTCCCCTAAAGAAATGCCACCCCATACCATTACTGACCTACTGCCAAAATGGTCATGCTGGAGGATGTTGCAGGCAGCAAAACGTTCTCCACAGTGTCTCCAGACCCTGTCGCATCTGTCACATGTGCTCAGTGTGAACCTGCTTTCATCTGTGAAGAGCACAGGGCGCCAGTGGCGAATTTGCCAATCTTGGTGTTCTCTGGCAAATGCCAAACAACCTGCACGATGTTGGGCTGTAAGCACAACCCCCAACTGTGGACGTTGGACCCTCATACCACCCTCATGGAGTCTGTTTCTGACCATTTGAGCAGCCACATGCACATTTGTGGCCCGCTGGAGGTCATTTTGCCGGGCTCTGGTGGTGCTCCTCCTGTCCCTCCTTGCACAAAGGCGGAGGTAACGGTCCTGATGCTGGGTTGTTGCTGTCCTATGGCCTCCTCCATGTCTCCTGATGTACTGGCCTATCTCCTGGTGGCATCTCCATGCTCTGGACACTACGCTGACAGACACAGCAAACCTTGTCACAGCTCCCATTGATGTGCCATCCTGGATGCGCTGCACTACCTGAGCCACTTGTGTGGGTTGTAGACTCCGTCTCATGCTACCACTAGAGTGAAAGCACAGCCAGCATTCCAAAGTGACCAAACCATCAGCCAGAAAGCATAGGAACTGAGAAGTGGTCTGTGGTCACCACCTGCAGAACCACTCCTTTATTGGAGATGTCTTGCGAACTGCCTATGCTTTCTACCTGTTGTCTATTCTATTTGCACAACAGCATGTGAAATTGATTGTCAATCAGTGTTGCTACCTAAGTGGACAGTTTGATTTCACAGAAGTGTGATTGATTTGGAGTTACATTGTATTGTTTAAGCGTTCCCTTTATTTTTTTTGAGCAGTGTGTATGTATGTGTGTGTGTGTGTGTGTGTGTGTGTGTGTGTGTGTATGTATGTATGTATGTATGTATGTATGTATGTATGTATGTATGGTATTCAGCTTTGTTTGGGTATTTTCCCACATCATTATAGTTGTGCTTTTAAAGTTGTAGCGACGTTTCGGCAGAATCTCATCTGCCATCATCAGGCTTGAGATTCTGCCGAAATGGCCCAGTTTTTGGCTTCCTGAGGCCTTCCATTTTTGGCCTCCAGAAGGCAGGTGGGGGCTGGCAGGTAGGTGGGGCGATGTGGGCGGGGCAGCCTTGTGGTTCCACATGGGCTGGATTAATAGCTTTTGGATCCCAAATAGATAGATAGATAGATAGATAGATAGATAGATAGATAGATAGATA